TAGTCTTCAAATGATCATTCAAAAATTAAGATATCAATGGATTTTGAAATTCCAAAGGTAGAAATTGGTTTTTGGGGTTTTCCAAAATGATCAGGAATTTAATCAATGATTCAAAGATTCTAGTGAATGAAAATATGAGTTCCCATGTTGTTCCCATTATCACAGTCATCTCACTCAATCAAAAATAGATGCACTATTTCTAGTAATTTGGTCTTCAGGGGCTTGCTCAAGAAATAAAAAATTCTAAGTATGTTTCTCCATCTCGAAGGTAATAATCGATTATCAGGAATCTTCTAAACATATTGAGTATTTAACATGTAAAACAGTAGTTCTATCTAATCAAGTATGACTTTTCAGGGTTATACCCACTTTTAGGGACAATTAATGTCATTTTTACTTCACAAGGGTATTTTTCATAATTGTCCTATCCAAACATCTCTAACATTAAAGCTTTTAACGATTATATCCAAAATTTAAGGATTCCGAGACTAATTCCTTTGCTGATTAATCACTAACTTTAAATTTATTTCTTATCAATATTCTAGTTTTCTTGCACGATTCAATCGAGTCTTATCTAGTTTACTACTTTTTACCGCATTCAATTTGAGTCCATTCATAATCAAATATGTAAAATCGACCAATCATATTTATCAATGCATTATCCAATACTAACTTGTTCCATAAAGCATGTAAAAATGTAGTAAAGTATTACCTCAATTTCTGAGCTACAACGATCGACCATTTCAACTCTATTTGATCACAATTGAACTTGAATTCGACATCCCAAAATATCTTGGATACATAACAAAAGAAATTACGTCAAAAATATAACTTAATCTGAAAAACGGATCGAATCAGAAGATAAAACGCTGAAAACAACTTACTCAGTTCAAATTTGACAAAACAAACCTTAAAAACAGACTCAGAACTTCAAAAACATCAAGATATGTGGGTTTTAAAAAAAGTCAATGTTAGGTCAATAACGATCAACGATGTCCAATGGTCAACTTGACGGCTTGGCTCGGTTCTGGTTCAAGTAGTTTAGACAGCTTGGCTCAAGCAGCTCAGCTTAGATAGGTCCAAACCGGTTCAGACCGGTTTCTAGAAATTCTCCAGGCAGAGAACGACACCTCTGCGTAGGAAGCTGCGTGTGGGGCGCGTGTGACGTCTACAGTGGTCGGACGACCACCAAAATTTTCAGAAATACAATTCATGGGCCGATGAATCCAATGCCGATGTCCAGTTGCAATGAATAATAAAGCGTGATGGATTTTTAAAATGACTGCAACACCTCCTTGTTCTTCCCTTATGATGGCGATGACTTATCGACAATTGAACGATGGCGAAACATTCAAAAATCGTGTAGACCCTTTATTTTTCCGATGAACTTCATGATGTTCTCTACGACTACCGGTGGGGTTCTACGGTTAGTGGGGCCTTCGGTTTTGGTCATGAGATGACTGGGAAGATAACGATGGTGGCAGTGCCGTGAACCAATGCTTTAACGAAAATAAATTAACGTTCAAAGATGGATACGAGGGAAAGAGATATTTCGTTACTTGGGAGAGAAAGAAAAGAGGAGGAAGAAAAATGTTTTTCACATTGGGTTTTAACCCTGTTATTTTAATATTTTGTTATTTATTCTCAATAGTACCTTAGTGTAGTTAGTAAAGCCTTTCCCTAGTATTATAAAGGCTATAGGTTCAAACCTATTACACAATTACTTTTTCCTTTTATTTTATTTCATGTCTTTCAAGCTCAGATGAATAAATTTCACTCGAAGCCATTGATCTCTTTAAAGCTCAAGTTTTAGACTTCAAGCCTTAATCTAAATTCAATTTAGTCCTTAATATGCTGAAAATTCTAACCAGAAAAGTTGGGGGTGTGACAATACCCAATTCAAATTAATTAACTAATAATAAAAATTAGATGGTTATAAAAAATCATCATCTATTATCAAAGTTTTATATATGTATACCACTTTTAAAAATCATATTTATCATTCATAATTTTTCAAAGAGTGTCTTCATCTATTATTCTTCGCTGATCAATTATTAAAAAAAATAAGATAAATAATATTTAATCTTTAAATTTAATATTTTTTATATTTGATTCATATCAATTTTAGAGTTAATTATACTCATCCATCGGCAAGTATATGGCCCAAAATTTGGGGCCCATATTTTTAAAAATCTACTTAGAAAACATTATTTTTTCAAGATAAAATTTAACAAAAAATTTTCTAAATTTTTTCTCTTATTCCATTCAATTGTAATCAATTATTTCTAAAAATTTCATTAAATTCATAGTGTTCAATAAATTTTTTTTTTTTATTTATTCTCATCCTCAATTCAATCTTTGAAAATTCTAATATTTTATTTCCTTACTATAAAATATTTTAAAAACGTAACGTAAAATTTACATATCCTTTGGGACATGCTGGTTTATTATATGAGATCTCAAACTTAAAAATGAAAAAAGAAATCTGATTTTTGTCTAGGGATGTAGACACAAGTTCTCCAAAACATTCTAATTCATTCATTATACGATTGAAAATAAACATTTTAAGTTAAATTTAATTTATTATAGTACGAATAAAGTGAATTTAATAGTTAAATAAATGATTGTTATTGTTAGAAGTCTTAGATTTGAGTACCAGTAATTGTAAGGTATTTGTGCTTTCATTTTTAAATGATTGAGAGTGTTTAGAACAAATACTACCACTTGTAAACAATAATATTATAATTTATGGTATAGTTAGACCTGACAAACTTGACCCGAACATGATTACCCGAACTGATTTACCCGACCCAATACCATATATTAACCTGAACATGATAACCAAATTCGATATGATACTCGACCCATATTCGACCCGAACCATACCCGATTCAAAATTTAGCGAAGCCTAAATTAACCCTAACCAAACGCAACCCGAACCAAAAGCAATCCGAACCGAAAGCAATCCGAACCGAAATTAACCCAAACCAAAACCCGAATCGAATTTAACCCGACCTGAAAATAATCTGAACATAAATTAATCCAAACCGAAAGTAAGAATCTTATTGTAAGATTGAAAACAATAACAAATAAAGTTTACTTATCTTACTTGTAATAAAAATACTAGATTTATAATAAAAAATAATAGAAAGTTTACTTATGTTACATAAGAGGAATATAGAAGTAAGAATCTTATTGTAAGATTGAAAACAAAAACAAATAAAGTTTACTTATCTTACTTGTAATAAAAATACTAGATTTATAATAAAAATAATAGAAAACAACTAAAATAAAGAAAATAATATTAGATTTATAATAAAAATAATATAAAATTTACTTATGTTACGACTAAAACTTAACAAATAACGTTATGTATTATTTTTAAAAATTTATTAAAAATATTAAATTTATATTTGGAAATAAAATTTTTAATAAAAAATCATTTCTTTATCAAATAGATACAATTTTCATACAATATCAATATAAAATTTTGATAACAAACTCTGATACACATTATAAGATCGTATTTGTGTCAAATTATCGATTTATCATCTCTAAATGATGGTTTAATTCAAAATAGTGAATGATTGAAAATTGAAATTAGACCTAAATGATAAGATTAACAAACAAGAAACATATTTTTTACAAGAATACATCAATAATTATATATATACTTGATTAGACTCATAACAAATTCAACCCGAATTGACCTGATCTAAAGGTTGACCAACCGAAAATCAATCGGTCTAATATTTACTCGAACTGAAATCTAGCCGATCCGGTATTAACCCCACCCAAAAATCAACTAATCTGATATTGATCTGACTCAATATTGACCAGACCCAAAAATCAACCGATCTGATATTGATCTTAATTGAAAACAACCGATCTGATAATCACCCGACTCAAAAATTGACTTGACCCGATCCCGACCCGACTCGAGTTACCTTAAACCCGAACTAAATCCAAACTAGATCTGATCTAACCCGAATAAAATTAAACCAATTATAATCTAGACCCGAAATGACTCGACCCAAACACAATCCGAATGACCCTTTTCCCACGTCCGGTTATAATTAATATATTTTCATAAAATTAATGTAATTTTAGTTATTTTATGAAATTAGCATGTGTTTTTTTTATTTTTAATAATAGATTATGAATGATAGATATTACTTTTAAGGGTAAACCATGCATTTAGTATATAAACTATCAGTTTTGGTATGTTTTAATATCTCTACTTTTATTTTTTTCAAAACCATACATAAACTTTAGTTTTCATTTTATTTTTGTATCCCGCTATTAAAAACTTAACGTGTTTAGTGCCTAAACTATGAGTTTTGGTCCTTTTTAGTACCTAAACTTTCAAATTTTCAAAACTTAACGTTAAATTTTGAACGAATATACTAAAATGAAACAAAAGCTAAAAATTTTAACGGCGAAGTACTGAAATAAAATAAAAACTAAATTTTATGTATGGTTTTGAAAAAAATTAAAATTTAAGTACTAAAACATACCAAAATTAATAGTTTTAGTACTAAACTCGTAATTTACCCTACTTTAGAAAATGATAGATGAATATGGAACTTTAATAGATATATCATAGATGAAGATGGGATTTTATTTAATATAAAATTACAAAAAATCTTATTTAATTTATTTTTTATATTTTAACATTATGTATAAATTGAATGTTGATAATAATATAAAAAATAAACTAATAAATTAGATTTCCTTCACAACATTTGTAGAATTGTGCAGAAACTCCCCAAAGCAACCGTTCAAAACATTTCTGAAATCCATCGAAAATGGAATTTCCTAATTGTGCAGTGCATGAGTTCATGGCTTTCTTTTTCGTTTTTGTTCGGTGCTTTCTATTCTGTTTTACACTTTCCTTTTCACCCATTTCTTATATTGATTACTCCATCCTCAAAAAGAAGAAAAAATTATACTGATTGTTCCCTAAATCGGGAACAGTTAATGATTAAATGATGTGTGCTACTGTTAAGCACGATAAGCGTACGCATATGGAGATGGAATTCTCAATGGCTTCAATCATTCATCAAGCCCTCTTCCAATATTTTCACAAAATGCGAGGCCGTATTTCCAGAATTTCTTCGGTAAGAATCCATCCTTGTTTCATGTTTGTAACAACTATCAATCCTTTGCTTTATTCGTTGTTACAACACCAGGCTATCTGAAATGCAATCCGTTTTATGACAATGTGGACTTTCGAAATCTTCTCTGAGTACCCATATATGTGTTTGGACTCGATTCTCGCTTTCATTTCCATACTACTAAAATGCTTTTCTCTATCCCCTTGTGCTACACAGTGCATCAAATTCAAAGCTAAAGAAATGGAGTTAACGCGCAGTCTTTACGGGGATAGAATGCAGGGATCGTCTTCCCAACTTATTCGACAGTTCATTACTTTCAAATGCGTCCCAATGAGCGAAAGAGCTACCTTGTTGTACATGCATCAGGTTATAGCTATCGTTATTACTTCCTTTTTTCCCTTGAATAAAAGTAACACTGTTTGTGCCTTATATCAGTAATGAGAAGAATTACTTGTCATACTTGTTGCTCAATTTGTTCTTAAGCGGAACATTGAAGCTGCAGTACATTTAAGTACACCAAAACCTCTAATATATATATTTATTTATGTACATTCACTGATTTGAGAACACTTAAGAAACGGTTTAGCTAACAATGATGTCTACATGATGAGCTTGCCAAGCATATTAGACTCCAGGATAATTTGAAAAAGCATTTTAAAGTTACACGTGCTGGAAGAGTAATTTTATAATTGCAGCTCTTAAACCAAAAATGTGACAAGGTGATTGTGGAAAATCTATGGCTTGGTTTGTAATAGATATTTGTTGTGTAAAATATATGATGCATTAAACCCACATAAATTTTGTCATATATGACTTGTACCTTTTTTGAACATCCAAATGTGCTTGAAATGAAGGCGTTCTAATCATTTCTTTTTATCTTTTTGTGGTTTGATTGTTTTTCCAGAATATTCATAATATAAATTTCAAACTCTTCTGGCTAAATTATTGTTTGAAAATCTTTACAAATCATGATCTGTTTGAACATCCAAATCATCTTGAAATGAAGATGTTTTATTTCTTTCCTTTTCATGGCTATATCATTTTCCTGCATATTCATAATATAAATTCGATTCTCTTCTATTGAAATTATTGTTTTGAAACAAATCATTCCTTGTTAATACATCTAAATGTTTTAGAAACGAAGAAATCCTTGTTACTTATTTTTCCTTGCTTCTCAGGTTGATATTGAGTTTTGAGTGAAACTTTTGGTTTTTTGTCCTTATTGGCGTAAGCAGAGCGTCATCATGATAGATCATTTTTTTTTTTGCTCAGTGTACATATGTCAATTCTAACTCTCCATGCAGCGATACCTTTTCTGGCCATTATGTGTTAATATCTTGGCGAATCCACCTAGGTTACCTTAAATGGGGAATTAATTAAGATACCTTATAAAACGGTCGTATTCTCCTCATCAGAACTTCACAAACAGAGAAAAAAATACAGGTCATCTCAATTTTAGCTGAAAAATCAAGAAAATTCTTTCATCATTGTTTGCTCGAAAGAGGCAGAGTTGGTAATTCTGTTCTTCTTGGATTACGTCTAAAACTTAGAGTACATTCTCCGATTTTTTCTATTTTAAATGCTGTGGTTGCTTCACCATTTTAAATCTAACCCATGATAATTTTTGAAATCATGTTTATGTTTATATGTATGCATCATTTACATTATTAAATTGGATTATTTTATTGCAACACTGTTGGTTATATTCTTTAGGAGATCAGTTTCACTCATGTTAGATTGGGAAAAAAATTAAACTATACTCGTGAGAAAAAGAGTCTTAATCTGCCCATAAAAACAAGGTTGCTTTTTTGATTTTGTTGTTTGTTGTTGTTGTTGTGTCGGCTAAATAATTGTTTTCATTCATGATGTATCCCGTAAAATGTAGATATTCTACTATCTTGTTAGACAATGGGTCCAATTTTTAGGTGATAGTTATATGATAATGTTGAAATTGCTATCGGTTTGGGGCTGACAATCTTGAGATTTAAACTAGCTTGGTTTAAAGGCTTTTCAAGCAGTACTTTTGTGTAGCATTGTGTGTAAGTTGGTCACTTTTGGTATGAGAGATAATGTTGTTCATTGGTTGGCATGCCAAAGTAAAGGAGGAAGCTCAGAATGGAAGAATTCTTACTTCATATAGACAATATATGTCTAGCATTCTCTATGTTTCTGTCTTCCTCTAACACTCTTATCGTTTTTCTTTATTAGGATTTCAGTTTGTATTAGTGTTTGTAAATCTATATAAATGTAGCTGTACTGTTGCTATTACCTGTTTAATCTCACATGTTTACCTTTTTCTTAGAAAAAAGAAGTGTTGCTGAAGTGTCATACAACAAACAAATTTTTTGATGAACATGCATGTAACTTGTCTGATCTGGACAATAACTATTGCACTGTCTTCATAATCTAGTCTTCATCGAATATTTTCCTAAATAAGATGCTATTGAATTATATTTTTTATCCTAAAACAAGTGAAACTAATTATGCTAGTTTCTTGTTGTTCAATTTGAAATTTGACATGAAATTTTTTCACTCTGTACTGTATTTCTTACCTTGACATTTATAACTTGACTTTTGAAACAGGTCAACAGAAACAAAGGGGGAAAATTCATGCATTTTTGTACTAATAAAGGTACAAAAGTGCATCTTTTGAAATTTATCGTGAGAACACCAGAGAGTAATACATTATGTTAAGTGGGGTATATAGAAGGAGTCCACGGATAGTTGAACTGGATGCACGGAAAGCACAAGCGAGGAGTCAAAATAAGGGTAATGTGATATGTGAAGTGGCAGACGAGGAGGAACCAGAGAAGGGGCAAGATATTTTGAACCAAAAGCGTAGAAGGAAAAAGGTTAAGGCCAGAACTGTCCAAGATCTTGTTAATTCAGTTGAATATAAAGTTCAGAAGGTACCTTTTGTTGCTTATCCATTTCAAATGTTTTACCTTGCAGTTGCACTCATTATTTTATGCCATAGCTTTATACTTTTGTGACACAACTAGATTGCTGTGTCAGATGATTCTAATTGCTACTAATTTAGTCATTTATGATATTATATATTTTCCAGGAAGGGATCCTATCAAAACTTCATTACTCCATAGTTATGATGCCATGATCTCTAAATTTATTGGAGTGTCATTTGTTGGTAATCGGTGCTATTGTAGATGATAAATTGAATCTAGTGTGAAAGTTTAAGTTGGGATCTATATCACAAAGATCTCGAGAAAATGAAGAAGGTTATTACTTTCCATTTAATGAAATGATGTTATATTTAACAAATACAGGATCCTAACTAATATATTTACAGTTTTTTTGAAGTACTACTATAATGGTAACATCTCATTCTTAAGAATCTTTCTAGTTTCTACAGATTATTTTTGTCGTCTTGTTTGACCAGTCAAAAATGTAACCCTTCTCTTAGTGCAATTGCCATCCAGTTTGTGTATGATAGTAGAGCCTTTTTTCTGGATAATAGGTGTTACTGTGGTATCATTAAAATACAAAATATGCTAAAAGTGGATGAAAGCAGGGGCGTGCGACAGTTATCTTGTGCAAATATATGAAAGTTGATTGGCACTAGTTTACTGATACATTTTATTTCTGTGTTTGTTTCAGATAGCTTTAGTTAATCCATTTTCGTTATTTTTCATATAATGTTAAAGCTTATTTGATCAAACTGCAGACTGACTCAGGGAATGAAGAAGATGGCCTTGTAAAAAATGATGGTTAGCTCATGCTTTGATTTAAAACTGAAAGTACAGTTTGTCAATTCTTATGTGTAATCGTGATGATGTATTCCATAGTTATTCATTTATTGCTCATTGTACATTAAGCAGCTATCGTGCCTTCTGGAGCTGCAATACCTGAAAAAGGCAAGCTTGAACTATTACTAGGTATATTGCAAAGGTATATAGTTATCTTGTAGACTAGACAAGCTCCCAGAATTTCAACTAAGAAATATAATGGATTGAATATCCTATTTCCTCTATGAGAAAAAAAGATTGAATTATATGGTAGTGATTGTTTAGAGATTTGTTTTTGCTATTTCCCTTTTCATCTGAATTGTAGGAGAGACACATATAAAATATTTGCAGAGCCAGTAAACCCAGAAGAGGTAACTGTTTTATTGTTTTCTTTTTCAAGTGTTCCAGTTTCTCTATCCATGATAACAGCCCCCTTTCGAATTTTTCAAAACCTTTGATTATTGGTTAACATCTTAAACTTTACACTATCTATAATTTCGATCAAAATTAAAAAGATGGACTCAAAGCTAAAAATTATTTCATTGTTTTTGAAAAACTCTGAAGAGGGGTTGTGATCATGGAAAGAAACATAATCAAAGGGGGTTAATTAACTTCATTTCTTAAAATGAAAGGTTGAACACTATTATGATGTCATCAAAGAACCAATGGATTTTGGCACGATTGCAAAGAAACTGAATGAAGGAAGTTATCAAACACTGGAAAATTTTGAGGTCTGGTCCAAAAATGCTACCTTTTATGGGGCTTCTCGTCATATAAAATTTGTGGATCATTTTAATTAATTGGTTCCTTCTATACTTTTACACAGCATGATGTATTTTTGGTACCCAACAATGCCATGCTTTTCAATGCTTCAAATACCATATACTACAGACAGGTAAGTCAACCAAAATTTTACTGATCATGTGAACTTTGTGACAATATCGTCGACAACTTGGCCGCAAAATTTTGATGTTAGATTTTTTTTTCGTTTCCTGAACTAAATGATTTTTGGTTTTCCAGGCACGTGCACTGAAAGAACTAGCTACAAAGCTATTCCATGCTCTTAAAACTGATCCTGAAAGCTTCGAATCTGATGCTTCCCTACAAAGAATGGGACTTGGTAGGAGGACAAATGCTGGAGTTGGAATTTTGAACTGTAACAACAAGAGTAATGCTAGCATTGCAGCTAGGGGTAGGTCATGCTGCCCAATTGGGGTTATCTAGTTTTTTATTATTATTGAAATTTAGTTTAAGCATGTCTATCCCTTTTTACTTCAAAAATGTATTGATAAAAAAATAAATGTTTCTTATTGGTATAAGTATCAAATATTAAGAAATAAAATATATACATATTGAGATTTATATGAATATCTGCAAAAACAATGCAGCAATAGATCTGTTTAGTGATAAACGTTGTCATATAACTCCCAACTTGTGAGATTCTCTTTTGTGCTTAGCTTAATCTTATTCAAATTAATTTGATGGTTTTCAAAATTATTTTTAAACAGGCTATAGAGCTCATGGAAGATTTAATGATGTTGATGTGGAAAGGCGTCAAACCTATAGACCTTGGAAGTCTTTACTTAGTGAGAATGGATCTTTAGTCTCAGCAGTTTATAACAGTCCAAAGCCACTTGTGCTGGTGAGTATTGTTTCTTCTAATCTTGTCAAATACACAATATTTTTTACTTCTATAATATGTTAAACTAACTTCATTACATTTAATGCAGAGTATGCTTATAAGATAACATACTCCTATAATCTAACTTAAATACTCCTAAAGATGAAACATTTCTTGGTCGACAGCAGATTCTAAAACTTCCCCTCAAGTTGGCGAACAAATATTTTTTGTTCCAATCTTGATAGTTTATTTGTTATAACAGAATTATGAGCAATATTGATAGTTTATTTATTAGCAGGATTATGAGCAATATTGATAGTTTATTAATTGTGAGTGCTAAAGAAAAGGAACAAAGACAGTAGAATTTGTGCCCGGATCACCAGGTCGTTAATCTTTTTTTTTTTTGGAACAGTTAGTGTGTGATGATGAAAAGGTTTTAATTGCCTCATTATTACATTCTCTTGGGGTTTATCGGTTAAAAATTTTCTATTTTTACATCTTTCTCTGGACATGCACTTCATTAAAAACCAAAGAAGTGTGTTTTCAATCGAAAGCCTTTTGAGAATAACATTCCCCTTATAATCATATATTATTTACTGATTATTTGTCTTATACATTCAGAATGCTGAGGCAGATATTGGATATTTAGAGAGCTTAAAGCGGTTTTCTAAAGATTTGGGTCCGGTAGCTCAAAATGTTGCCATGAAGAAGGTAAATAGTTACATTTCTGAAGCCATGAGAGTTTGGAATGTGACTACAAATCGTCAGGTCTGGCCCCCAAATATGCAAATTCCTAATGCACCATCTGCGTCAAATATAAAGGTTGCTCCATCTTTTAAAGTCCCTTCAAGTACACTTGGATGCCAAAATATTTCAGTAGATAAAATGAACCTTCACAGTGGATTCTCACATGGAGGACAGGCACCAATGGATGACAATATGACCATTAATAATGCTTTAACTGGAGGAATTAGTCAACCTGGTGTCTTGCAAGGGAACATGATTCCGTCTGTGAGTAGGGGGGGTTTTGCTCCATCTTCACATCTGCTTGGGGATTCTAGTGGATATCAGACATTGGCAGGCGAAACAATGGATGGTCCAACCTTCTTTCGGAATAGAGGAAAGGTGACTGCAGGTTATAATGTGGACATGATTGATTCTTTCAAGGATTATGCTGCTAATAAAAGCAATGAGATTCAGTTGGAGTCTTCTTTTCCCAATCATGATTCAGGAAAACCAAAACTTGATTTATCCGCATTGTGGAATACAAAGGGAAAACAAAAGGAATCAGGCGAGACCAGCATGATGGTAAACCCAATCAATGAGGATAACAGTGTACAAAATGCTGAGCATGCTTCTTCATGGTGGAGGATGCAAGAGTGTCTCCCTCAAAGTAACAGTGGTGCTTCCTCATCTGCATGGTGTCCACCTTCTCAAGTCATGACAGGGTTGAATGGATTTCAGACCATCGACTACATGACCGGAATTGGTTCTCATTATCCTGATAAAGCAATGTGTGAAAAAGATGTCATAGCTGATGGACAAGGCTCTAGATACAAAACCAATGTAGAGCATGGTGGGGTAGTTTCAGATTTGTTGTCGCCACTGCAGACGGGAATGCAATCCCAGAGTGGACTTGGATCTCATTATCCTGATAAAGCAATGTGTGAAAAAGATGTCATAGCTGATGGACAAGGCTCTAAATACAAAACCAATGTAGAGCATGGTGGGGTAGTTTCAGATTTGTTGTCGCCACTGCAGACTGGAATGCAATCCCAGTGTGGAATTGGTTCTCATTATCCTGGTAAAGCAATATGTGAAAAAGATGTTTTAGGTGATGGAGAAGGCTCTAAATATCGAACCATTGTAGAGCTGGGTGGAGTAGTTTTAGGTTTGATGGCGCCTCAGAAGATGGGAATTCAATCCTCGAGTGCAATCGGTTCCCATTATCCTGGCAAAGCAAAATGTGGAAAAAATGTCATAGCTGATGGAGAAGGCTCAAGATGCAGAACTGATGTAGTGGAGGGTGGAGTAGTTTCAGATTTGTTGAAGCCATTGGAGATGGGAATGCAATCCACGAATGAATTCTGTTTTCGAGAGGAAACACTACCAGCTGAAATGACATCCATATTTGAGCAAAAAGAACTGGAGCCACTATGTGAACTTCCTACTGATGAAGACTGGATTGGTGTTTTCCCAGAGGAGAATGAGATGAATGCATCAGAGAAGGCGTTAGAGTATGAGTGGTTTGAACCTGAAAGCAGTGGAGCAGCTGCTGAGAGGAGGCTGAAGCAAACTGCGGAGAAGGGTACGGAGCAGGCGCAATGGAGGTGGCTGTAATTCTCTAGGCCAAAGAAAACTGCCAATGCATGGCATGACAATGCAATAAAAGAGACTTCGTTTGTTTTAAATCCATCCAAAGGAAACTTGAAGACTTTTTGGCTATATAAAAGAGTTCTGGGCTCTGCCTTTCTATTGTGTGGGAACTGGGGTGGGGAGTAGGGAAGTTATGACCATCATACTCTCAGACTATGACACCCACCACACTTTTATCTTCAATAATATGATACTTCTCTCTTACTTGCAGCATCTTTATTTAATATTGGTTGCATTCTTTTTTATAAATCTGGGTGAATATAAATTAGTATATGTTCAAAGATTTTTAACCATTTGAAAATGAAAGCTTTTATCCTTGTACACTTTGCGCTCGAACTAGGGATCTCAATGGATAACAAAAATTCCTTAACTACTGAAGTTGTTTGGTTCGTACAATGTTAGTTGTACTTTTGTGAGTTGGGAAATCTGTCTCAGTGGCTTCCTTCTGCTAGGAGAAGAAAATTAGATGGTTGAAGTATTTTTCGTTCCCAGAATTCGGATATCCAATACAAGTGAACCTTAAGAGTTGAACATGCCGTTTAGTACTCCATTTATTTAACACCATAACTCCATTTCCAGCCTAAACTAATCAAAATTTTGTTGCAATATAGAAACATTGTTATTTTGCTATACAAATGTGATTAAGCCGAAATTATTGACTTCCTGCTCTTTATCCTGTTTGACTTGGGGTTTGGTTTCCCTACTTTTACGTCACTTATTATATATCTCATCCTCTTGTTAGTATTATTAATTTCGATTTGATTTAAAAAGTTTAATTGAATTAGACTTGAAAACTGATACTTTAAAATGGTTAAGTTTGACTTGAAATTAAAAATTGAAGTTCGACTTGAGTTCGAAAAAAGTTTGAACTCGAAACATTATCAAACTTAGATCGGTTAAAATTCAAGTACATGAAAATTTTATGTTGCATCTTTAAAAAAACAGGCTTAATACAAAAATAAATGTCTAAACTATATCTCGAAATACAATTTGATACTTAAAGAAATTTTTGCTAAAATTAAGTGCCTAAAGTTTCTAATGTTAAACTTTTAGGTGTTTGGATCATAACGAACGTTAAATTTAGGTGTTATCTGACATGTGTCACATATATAAAATTTCACAAATTATTTTATTTTAGAAAGATGATATTATAATTAAAAAAAAAACCCTGTCCCCCACTCACCGTGGACCTATGCCGATGGTCGTGAAAATGCCTTGAAGGGTCGCCATATTTTTAGGTTTTCCGTTTTAAGTTTTTCGGTGATTTCGACGCTTATACCCGTCTGTACATTACACAACCCTACCGTTGTGTTTCTTGATGTGTTCCGAATAAAACCTGACCGATGGTGACTGTTCTCTGTCGGAGGTGGGGTAATGGGAGGGAGACAGAGGACGAGGGGGAAGGGAAGTTTGATTTTTTTTAATTTTTTTTTGAATAAATAATATTTTTATTATTAAAAATTTAAAAATATAACGGTATGTACCTAAAATTATAATGGAGAAAACGCTATGCACCTATTCTTTAAACACTAAAACGTATTTCGAGACATAATTTAGACACTTATTTTTGTATTAAGTTAAAAAATCAGTATATAAATATTAATATTATTAATAATTTAAAAATTAATATTATTAATAATTTAAAATTTAATTTTTTTAAATAATTTAGAGTTGTTCGAAAGATTTTTAAGTCACATTTTAAGTAATTTGGTTCAAATTATTAAAAACTCAAGATTGAATCTATTCAAATTAAATATGGATCAAACTTAAATAATTTACTATATATCTGATGTGTCTTCTGAGAAGGGAAAATCTCAATCTTAAGCGGAAAGAGTAGCACTTTTATCTAGATTCCTATGCTTGGTCCATCTGTATGGCACTCTAATGTGGTAAAAGGATTATTCGGGTTCGTTTGGTTCACGAAATGTAATATTATCAGTGAGAATAAAAGATTATTAGAGAATATGATTACTGGAAATGTTGTATTTTGTGTTTGGTTGGTTTAACAGGAATGTAAGATTATCGTGTTTGGTTAAAGGAATAAAAGATTATTGGAATGTATATTTGACCAAATTGTTCTTATTATATATTAATTTTTTTAACAAGTTAGAAAATCTTTATATATTTTCTTTAAAAAATTTAAATTCAAAAAATTTATATAATTTTTTTACAAAATTGAAAATATAAAAAGGTTTAATGAAAGGGTAAAATTTTATTTTAACCCCTGAACTTCATAAAAAAAATTTAATTATAGATGTTTTTTTGTAAATTTAAAATAGTTTAAGGATAAATTTGTAATTTAACCTTCGTAAAATTTTTATTATTCAATGACAGAAGAATATTTAAAAAAAATTAAGGGCATTTTAGTCCAAAACGACGGTAATCTAACAATACCTAAGAAAAGAGGTAATAACATTCCCGGTAATATATCCCAAAAAATCCACTATTGATAATAAAACATTACCATGAATGAGATTCACGACCAACCAAACAGGAAAATGTGGATTTCATTCCCATGAGAATCTCACATTCTCTGAACCAAACAAACCCTAAGATGCTTAATTTTCTATCTCATAGCCCTCTAAACAATGCAATGCTTAATTTTCTTTCTCATAGCCCTCTAAACAATACAATAATAATTATTATGATAAATTACACATTTATTTATTAAATTTTATTCTTTCATATTTCACTTGTTATATTTTCATTTTTTTAAAATTTAATCATTAAATTTTATATAATAAATTTTTTATCACTCTACCGTTGATTATCTAACAGTGTCATTAATTATTTAATAGCGTTATGAAGTGAATTAGATAAATAATTTTTAATCGTGAAAAAATAGTGTAAATTACGTGTGGATTAAATAAATAAATAATTTTTTTTAAACATCATAATTAAGTTCCGAGAAAACGACGTCGTAGGCAATGGCTCATTCTCCTTACTCGGCGATTCCAGGGTCCTCCGAAGTAAATGTATCATCGCAGATATCAATTCCTTGGTGAAATTCGTCGACGAACTCGACGATTTGAACTGCTTGCGAAATTTCGAGTGCTGATTCATTGCTTCGTGGGTCGTGATATCCTCCTTGATCTGACTGTCTCGTCGTTGACGGTCTCTGAGCAAAGCCCGCAAAGCTATCGCCCCTCGAATTTCTCTCTCACGCTAGCAATGTAAGTCGACGTGTATTCCTTGGTTAACTCGCAACAATCGCACTTTACAAACTCAAGTTCGCTTTGGCTGTTGCTTCTGTGATTCACAACCGCCATTGAAATCCAACTGCAAAAGCTTAAATTCCGACCCTGCCTCACCCATTCCGACCTACCAATTCATTTTCGCCTACCCTTCGCCCACTGGTACTACGCCAGTCCTCCGTGTATTTTGTATCGTGCCTCACTTGAGCTTCCTTTTTGCATGTTAATGAAGGGTTCGATTGCTATGGCCGGTGTTGGTGGCGCTGCCTTGCTTGTGTTTGAGACTTTAGAATTTGTTCTTTTTAATTGATTGGTTTTGGATTTTTTGTTGATTTGTTTTCATTGAGGTAAGCTCTTAACAATCTATGCTTCCTGTGACAACAACCCATCATCGGTTTCGTTCAACAATGGTCGTCGTTGATAGTGGCCAAGGAGAAAAGCTGTTGACGGTGGGAGTAGGAGGCCAAGGGTGAGGGTGGGGTGGGTTGTAATTTGAGATTAGGGTTTATTAGTAAAATTCAAGAATTTTATTTTTTATTTTGTATTAAATGTTACACATCATAATTAAATATTAATCAAAAATATATATATGATCACTATATATTAATAAAATAAGTTAGGTCATTCATCTGTTAAAAAGAAAATAATTGAATGATAAAAAAATTCAATATAAAATTTTAATGAGAAAATTTAAAAAAAAAATAGAATTACAAAGAATGTAATAGAAGATATAATAAAATCTAGTGAGTAAGCATGTAATTTACCATAATAATTAATATATAGCTCACTTCCAACTTTTTTTCTCCTTCAAAGAAAGCACATATTTCGCTACCCTTTCAATCTTTCTTCACTTTTTTTGTAATGGGAAAATTTGGATTGAAATTTGCATAATTTATGCTCGAGGTCTTCGGTTCGTCCTCTTTCTGGAAGCTATAGTGGTTTACAGTGAGATGGATCGATCCCAACGACAAATATTGCACCAAGATCGATGCTTCCGACAGCTCAAATCCGGTATGGAAAACCAAGTTTGCAGCTTTGGTTGATGAGTTTACTGTAGAGGAGATTGTGGTCTATGTTGAAATATACAGTATGGAGCCCATTTTTTTTAGGGAAAGGCTTCAAGGGACTGCAACTGTTGGCTTGAAAGAATTCCTGACCAAATATAACAACAACAATTCAGCCTCCTCCTCTTCAACTCAAGAAGTAGGGAGTTACCAGTTACGCAAACCAAATTCCAACAAACCTCAAGGATTTGTTGACATCTCCATTCGTATCTCAAAGGAGAAGGAAGATCCTGGTTCTTACACATGTAGTGAGCTTAGTTCTTTTGACATTTCAGATTGGTGCTGAGCTTAGTTATTTTGTAGGTACTGAGGGAGGACTGGTTCTCATGGACCATAGACCAGATATTCCTTTGTCTACTGAAGGCAACTTGGCCTTCAGTGCCATGCCATACCCATATAAATATCCACTGCCATATCCCACAAACAACAACAACCCATATCTAGGGGTAAGATAACCTAATTATCCTTCCACTTCAGCATTTCATTCAAGGACAAAACACATACGAGTTCAGTACCATTTCATTTGTGAAAAGGTGGAAGAATGGATAGTAGATATGCAGAAGATCCATACCAAAGACAAGATAGCAGATTTCATGACAAAGGCGATCAACGCTGATAAATTTACTTGGTGTCGATCCTCTTGTGGCCTGTCAGAGACATAAGCAACATGATGGTACAAGGTAAAAAGAATTGTGTGAAGATATGATTATTCCAATCAAATCTTCAAGTGGGAGATTGTTGAAAAATAAACA